ACCTGAACCCTATAGAAAATGAGTGTGGTGAACTGAAGAGGACAAGCACCATCATGGAGCTGGGAATCTGAAGGGTCTGGAGAGATTCTGGATGAAGGAATTGTCTCTGATTTATTGTCAGGTGCTCTCTAACCTCATCAGGAGAAAACTCAGAGCTGTTATTATGCCAAATGGAGGTTTCAAAAAGCATTGAATAAAAGGGTGCCGTTAATTGTGTCCAATGTGTATTAGAGAAAAAACATTTGTCATAATGATATTTCCCCCCATTTTAAATTATTATTCTCCAATGAAAGGTTATTTATGTTAATTTTTTTAATAAAAGATCAAAATGATTAACAATTCAGATTTATTTTCACAGCCTTCTTTGATCATATTTACCAAGGGTGCCAATAATTCTGACCACGACTTTATCTATATAAAGTGTGCGATCTAGTGTTTGAAAAGCAGAGAAACAACGTGTGCTACATTCCTACAAGTAGACGGGGGCGCTGTTATGAGTGAAAATGTGAGGAAGTTTCAAACAGATGAATTATAGCATGTTTCTATTCATGCACTTTAAAAGAAAACAATTAGAAACACTTTGACAGATGAACCATGTATCCAATAAATACAAGATTACAACAACATATGATTGGTATGTTCTTCAAGTTGTGTCAGGTGTTTTACAAGCACAAAGCCTAAATTATATTTAAATAAGAAATACTTTAGCCTTCAGACTCATATAAAAGCAAAAGAGGATTAAAAAATTCTGTATTTAAAGAATCCACATACCATCTCTAAAAGTTGTTTTATACACTTTGTGGGTTTTTGAAGTAATCTAAGAAGTAGAAGTAATATAACTCATAAAAAGTTAAGCAGTCTTGTGAATTATGTTTTATATACAAGTGCACTATCGTTCAAAAGTGACAGTAAAGACATTTAGAATGTTGCAAAAAATGTCTTTCATATAAATGGTCATATAAATGGTCTTCTTCTTAACTTTCTTTTCATCAAAGAATCCTGGAAAAAAAAAAAAAATATATATATATATATATCAGTTTCCACTGATATTAAGCAGCACAACTGTTTTCAAGATTTTTAATAAGAAATGTTATTTACATTAAAATTATTTCTGAAGGATCATGTGACACTGAAGACTGGCGTAATGACTGCTAAAAAAATTCAGCTTTGCCATTTATGAATATATTACATTGTAAAATATATTCAAATTGAAAACAGTTGTAGCCTAATGATATTTCACAATATTACTGTCTTTGATAAAATAAATGCAGCCTTGGTGAGACGTCTTTCAAAAGTTTTACAAAATCTTACCAACCCCAGACTACCCAGAGAACGTCTCGGTTACGTATGGTAACCCTCGTTCCCTGAAGGAGGGAACGGACACGTCACGTCGGATGACCGACGAAATTGGGATCTCGCTTAGCGAGACCAATCTACTTCAAGTGTAAACTAAATGTATATTTTCTGATTAAGTCTATCAAAGGCAAATCCACATCAGATCATATGTCTAACAATAAATATTTATTTAAAACAACAACAACAACAACAACAACAGCAAGATAAATGTACTTGAATTTTCAATTTTCAATTTAAAACAATGTTGAAAAAGACATATTCCAAAAGTAGATTAAGTCACTTACATTGTGTAATCTAATAGAATATGTTACAAATTTTTGCAGCATGAAATCTGTGGTGTCTATTACTCTCAGATGTACCTATTTCATGAAAACAGACACACTGTCATTGGCATGAAGTGCCTCACTAAACAGTATCGATTAGTGCTGATGGATAAAAAAAGCAACTCTTTAATGGACTGAAAACAGGCATATGCAGTGAAGTATAACCATCACTTGACAAGAAAAAATTAAAATACTGGATAAGCGGAAACACTGCCAGAGGGATTATGGTGTTATGCGATAACATTTTAATAGCCTATAATCTCCACTGGTTTTGACACATAATGTAAAACTTTACAAGAAGTTTAACAGCCATAACGAAGTGCAACGCCTCGGCTTCCCCCCACCCATATGCCTTGTTAATATCGGTTCCATCCTCTGTGAAAGCACCACGCTTATGTATAGAAATGAATGAATCCATACACTCATAATTCCAACATCACCCTGGACTGAAAAGGGCGAGATGGGTCATTGATTACACGGGAGTGAGTGGATTGATGTAGAATGTAGGGAGGGGCTTAGCAGTGATTGCTTAGAGCACAGAGATAATTTGGACGCTTATTGATTTTACCCTGAAACGCTGCAAAGGATCGCCACTTTTTTTTTCTTTGTTCCTCAGAAGGTGGCGATACTCTGAACAGTACGCATAGGTGGGAGGAAGGGTTTTATATTGACAATAAAGGCAGCATTATCAGCCTGACCACACAGCCCGGTAAATAACATGCCATCATATTAGAAGGCCGTTGATTTAGTACTATTTGTTTTCCGCTTCTATTTGTTTTGCATGATAGCGGTATTTATGAGCCTGTGGCCAAGAGAGCCTCGGCTAGAATGCTGTCAAACATGACAGCAAGACACATGGCTCATCTGAAAGCCAATTTCCAGGTATTAGAGTACTTTACGTTTTATGACCCCACAGCCCTGAACCTGATGTAATTACCCGGCAAGGACATTATGTCATTCAGGACCGTTGGTGTAAGGGGTGCTGATGTTTGGAGGGAGAGGCGGGTCAGAAATGAGATACAAATTATTGCTTGTAGTCATTTTATGTTGACTTCCCACTCATTCAGTGGCCATCTCATGACGAGAGGCGGTGACCTTACCAGTGTTGTTATTAATTACCTTATTATTCTAATTAAGAAATAAGACTCGGTGCAAAGTGAAGCTGATGAACATCACTAAGCGAGTGTCTAATTAATAGATTGCATGTTGAAGGTCAGACTGCAGGTTATTTGTAATGATTCTGGCCAGGGAGAGGAGAGCAATTCAGAGGAGAGTCTCAAACTCTCAATAAGTCTTTGCCTGAAATTCCTTTGAGCCCTTGTTCATACATCTTTCTTTCTTTTGTGAAGCACAAAATAAGACTGATTATTGATTGATTTACGTGAATAAATTTTGTCAATACAATGTAAAAGGTCCAGTATTCGGAGCCCAACATTCTTTAAAAAAATCTTCTTTTGTGTTGCAATGTAGAAAGTCCAACAGGGTTTAATTAAATAATTTTAATAATATGTTGAAGAAAACTGCCATAAAGTGATAATAGCATAAATTATTGTCATAAATGACAATCATATTCATGATTGAAAAGTTACATCAAAAACAGCTTTACCTCGTGGCAACTTGTCTGTCAAGACATTTAAGTTTCAACCATTCAAACACATAGCGCGACCACAGCTGCGTCGCTACACTTTAAAAAATGCTGGGTTGTTTCAACCCAACTTTGGGTCAAATATGGACAAACCCAGCTGTTGGGTTACATTTTTTAATTATATTTTTAACCCAAAAGTTGGGTTAGTCCATACTTGACCCAAAGTTGGGTTGAAACAACCCAGAATTTATTAAAGTGTAGTGCACTGGATCAATAGGCAACTTTGTTACAAAGAACTTTGTTTGTGAAGTCGCGTCGTGTTTCCGCCCTGGTCGCGCATTCGTTTGCCGGGAGGTGAAACTTTCATGGTGGCGCCGACACGTCATTCGCTTTGAGTGGAGATCCAGCGCGTTTGTAGAAGGCTATAGCAGATGTTAGCTGCGACGTATATTTAAACAAAAAATGAAAAATGTGAAATTACAGACATTTTCCTATAAGTAGAGTAATAATTTGATAGGAATACAATATAATATCAACTTAATTTTATTCAGGAAGTTTCCCCTCAGGAAGTTTTCTCTCAGGACAGAACACAAAATGACAGCTGACAAATGTAACTGTAACGGTACGGTGTAGAAGAACTCGGACAAAGAAGATAAAGGTCAAACAGTCTTTTAATAATCCACACATAAAGGGTAATCCACAAGAGGAAGGCAGGTACACCCGTACACAAACGTAAACACTGACATTCACATTCAATACCCAACCAAGACTAACAGAACAGACAGGAAATTAAATACAAAGGCAAATGAAGATAATAAACAAGACACACCTGAACATAATGACATAATTAGACACGAGGAAAAACTAGGTCAAGGAACACATGAGGGAAGAAAACAAACTAAAAGTCTATGTGGCGTGACAGTAACCAGTTTTAACCGGTTTGGCAGAGTTTACCCAACATTGGGTTACACTGACCCAGCGCTGCGTAGGTGTGTGAGGGGGTTCATCATTTGTATTGACAGTAAAAATGACCCAACAGCTGAGTTACAGAAAAACTGGACCTCAACCCATCACATGGGTTAAAATAATAACAACAACCCAATAAAATGACCCAACAGACTGAACACAGCATTTGGGTAAAAATAAATAAATAAATAACCCAGCATTTTTTGAGTGCAGAAAATGATTATATATACAAATCACTGTAATATACAATGTAAAATATTTGTATAGGCCTATATAAATATATGTTAAATTATTCAGCAATAACAACCGTCTGGATGTACATTATCCCAATTATTATAAGGCTACTTGTTACATAAGTAAATAATTAACACAAAATATTGATTTGAGTTGAAATATTTGAACGCAAAGCTTCCGTGAAGTTTAAACTAGATGGACATTTAAGGGATATGGTGCAGTCATACCACTTATTACACATTTCACCACATAAATAATTATGGTGATAAAAGATTTAAGATATTGATTTAAGACGAAAACTGACTTCCATATCATACTACAGAAAATAATGGAATACAATTTGAAATGCTTTAATGTTTGACTTAGATGTATTTTTTATAAACTAAAATTATATGCACAATTACAATTACATTTTAGAGTAAAACTAAAACAAAACAAAAACAAACAAAATAAATGTAACAATTAATAGTCGTCATCAAAGGCAAAAAAGTGTTCAATTAAGGATCAGTATTTAAAGGTAGGAGGACAAGGCATGACTGAATTTAGTTTATATAACATCTGGCCAGTTGTAGAGGGTCAACATAGATGCTGTCTATCCATTTATTGCTGCTTTCCCTCTGTATATTTCTCCTTCTTATCTCTTCTCTCTCTAAATAACCCTCTCCTCCTGTATTATTTCTGTGTTGTAAGGGCCTCTCTTCAGGCTATGAATGAAACATGTTGGAGGCTCTCAGGCACACAGAAGACCAGATGTGCTTGGTGGTACAGTACCTGCATCGACTCTTTTTGCAAGATTCGCCAAAGGGTGTACTGCTTATTTCCATACTGATGTTCTCTTATCATGCTCCGTGTTAGCATGAGGTCAGGATGTGATTAGTTCTGCCGTAAAAAGCATAACTCACCCGAGCAGCATGTTCTTGGATGCCTGGTGTCTATAAATGCAATGCAGGTGTAAGTGTGTTGGACAGTGATCTACATGTCCATTACAAATGTCATAAAAGTGATAATAGCATGCTTCTCTGCAGCACCTAGGTGTGAAGGGCAAGTAAGATTTTTCCTTGTGTGCCGAAAGGTCATTTATAGGATGCAGGGGACCAAGCAATTCATCAAAACACTTGCCCTGTGTGGATGCAGGTTTACAAAAAAAAAAAATAATAATAATAAATAAAACTTTTAAAAGATTTTGAAAGGATCGACTTAACTAAATAATATCAATATAATTATTTTGAAACACCAAAGTTGAATTAATCGTCTCATTAATCAAGTTATAAAAATAATTCTGTTAAAATGTATTTATTGTTTCTCACAAAAGTGTAAGTGAGAGCTGTGTCAGTGTATGAAAGTGTCTAACTTCCTATCTAGCAAACAGTTGGCTCATGTTCATAGCTTGAAGTAGCATCTAGTTAATTTCAGTGAAATAAGAACAAAATAGGAGTGGAAAAATTGTATTATAATGTCAGACATATATTTGACACTTTTACGCTACATAACATTATAGGTAATGTTTTGGAGGTACTTGGTAGTTTCTCTCAGATTTGGAGTGCTAGGTGCTCTGTGTTTTACTCTTTCAACGGTCCTTCACCTGAAAAAGTGAATAGAGGAACAAAGGAAAAGTGCTTAGGAGCAGGAAACAGAGAGAACAGGAAGAAATGACTGAGAGAGAGCTACAGCTTGTAAGGCCCACAAGCCTGTGAATAGTTAATGTTGGGCCAGCAGCTGACTTTAAAGGTTAATTACTTTCTAATCTGTGTACAAAGGCCATGACAGAAAAGGGGATATTAATAAGACATGACATGGCAGGGTCCTGCTAGGCCAAACGTCTGTACATTCAGGGAAGCATTAACATTGAGCTTGTCCATCACTTCAGATACAAGATAAAAAGAGAGTTATCAATCATCTGGGGCTTATAGGCAAAAAAAAAAAAAATGGAGGAAAGGAGATGGAACAGGGGATACGAGAGAGAGATAGAGAGAGAAGAACAAGAAACAGAAATACCAGCATAGAAAATAATAATAATAAAAAAATATATATTTCTAAGGGCTTCAGATATGAGACAAATGAAAGATAAGGATTGCATTAATTTCATCCACTCGGCATGAGATAGAAAGCAGTGCTCATAATATCCATTCCTTCCTTTCTCACACTTTTCGATATGACACAGGAGAAGACAAATCAGAGGACATAAAATTCAATGGCCCCTGCAGGAAAACTTTAGTAGATGTTTATAATCTGCCTTTCAAGAGGATATTGCTTCTTATCATGGGCGATGCTCCCGTCTAAATCTGTCATGGGCCCATCCTCTGCAATCCAAACCAACACCTGTGCAACCTGATCAGATGATATAACAGATATTCTACTAGAGCAGAAAAACAGGCACATCTTTCAGCCACCTGCAGTCATGACAGATAGTCTTGAGTGAATGGGAACCTCGGGGATCCTGAGCTCTTGTCTCTAAAACCAATCGATATAGGAGGAGGTGATGTTCAGACTGAGAGTGGATAGCAAAACTCTCTCTACAGTTCCAGCCTCAGTGTGAAGTGGCCCCTCAAGAGTTTCAGCAGATCTATATCAGTGGACCTCTTAGAATTATAGGAGAAAATATGAAATGATTTGGACTTTTTAAAAATTACCTTAAGCTTGATAATCAGCTCAAGTTCAGAGTTTTCCCATGGACCTATATTCTACCCAAAAGGTAACTTTACAACTGTACTTTGGTTCACCAGAAAGAGCACGTCACCAACAAGACCAGCACCAAATCAGCATGGAAGCCAAAACAGTCCGGACAACTTGTATGATACTATAGATGGTGAAATAACAATATACATTAGAGTACAACCTGGCTTGCAATCACGATTTTAGTTTTGAGTTATACATTCTTGTATGGCCCAAGTAGTATTTCATCATCTCATAAAAATTACTTTAGCACAGGGGTGTCCAATCCTGCTCCTGGAATCCCAATGTCCTGCAGAGTTTAGCTCCATCCTGACCCAAAACACCTGCCTGAACGTTTCTAGTAACCCAAGACCTTAATTAGCTGGATCAGGCATTTTTAATTGGGATTTGAGCTAAACTGCAAGACAGTAGAACTCCAGGAGCAAGATGGGACACCCCAAGTAGCCATTTTTGGCCTCCCTACCAGGCATGAACAGCAAGACCACATTGGTCAACGGCAATGAACACGGAGCATGAAAGTTGGTATTAGTTATTTCCTTTTTGACACTGATTTGTAGCTTAAAACTTGAATTTAGGGCACATTGAACACACTGTACTAATTTCTCAGTTAGGGAACAATTAATGTCACAAGAAAAATTCACCCTTTTTTCTCTTAATGCACTTGTCACTTACATTAATTTGATACATTTAGTTTCTGCTTGACATATTCTCATACTGACCTTCAAAAGTGAACATCATCCGTTCTCACAGGCTTTCTATCTGTGTAGTGTAATTTAGAAACTGCACCTTGGACCTTCAAACTCACAAATGAAGCATACATAAGACATCAGAGATTGAGAGGTTCTGTTTCACATGGCCATGCACTGAAGATTAGATTCAGAGTCAGTCAGAGGTTTTGAACCCTTCCAAGAGACTACCTCATTAGTGAATTTGCTCTGACAAAGTAACTCCCATTTCTCTGTAGGAACCCTCAGCCAAAAATGACTAGCAGATTAATGACTTATAGATATAAATGATGTGGGAGAGAGAGAGTCTTTCCTGTACAGCGTTTTTTTTTTTTTTGTGGAAAAATAACAATATATGGGGGGGGGGCA